TAACCTTTAAATTAGACTTGTAAGTGAATTATGCACCACCATTACCATATTATACAGAATCTAACTTTGACTATATATTTGCCGTTACAGTGAGTTTTACACTGCCCTCTCATGTTTTTTACGATTTTAATTAGCACCTTTTTATTTCCAAAGAATTCCTTCTGGCATTTTTTGTAAGCCAGGTCTGGTGGTGATGAGTTCCTCTGCTTTTGTTTGTCCAGGAAAGTTTCTGTCCCTCCTTTGTTTCTAAAGGTCAGCTTCACTGGGTACACTATTCTCGGTTGATGGTTTCTTTCTTTCAATATTTCGAATATGCTATCCCATTCTCTTCTGGCCTGAAATATTTCTGTTGAGAAATATACCTACAATCTTATGGAGATTCCTAATTTCTCTTTTCCTTTGTTGCTTTTAAAATTCTGTCTTTGACTTGACAGTTTAATTATAATGTGTCTTGGTGTAGCCCTATTCAGGTTCAACCTATTTGGGGTTCTTTGGGCCTCTTGGATCCGGATGTTTGTTTCTCTCTCCAGGTTTGGGGAAATTCCAGCCATTATTGTTTTAAGTATACTTTCTGTCCCTTTCTATCGTCTCCTGGAATTCCCATTGCAAGTATTTTCTTTTCATTTGTCCTATAAATTTCACTTTTTCATTCTTTTCTTTTTGCTCTTCTGACTGGATAATTTCAAATGTCCTACCTTATAGGTTGCTGATTCCTCCTTCTGCATGGTCGAGTCTGCCTTTGAAGCTCCTGAATTCTTCAGTATGGTTATTGTATTTTTCAGCTGTAAGATGTTTGGTTGATTTTTGGTTTGGGGTTTTTGTTTGTTTGTTTGTTTGTTTTGATCTAGTTTCTTGTTGATCTCGTTTTGTTCATGTATTGTTTTCCTAATTTTATCGAGTTGTCTGTGTATTCTTGTAGTTCACTAAACAACTTTTAAAGGATTATTCTGGATTCTTTGTCTGACAGTTCATAGATATCCATTTCTTTGGGTCAGTTATTAGAGATTTATTAGTTTTCTTTGATGGTGTCATGTGTATGTGAGTGTGTGTGTGTGCGTTCGTGTTCGTGTTCGTGTTCCTTGATCTTATGTTGGTATCTGCTTCTGTTGGTAACATTTGAGTAAATGGTCTCCTCTTCTAGACTTTGCAAGTTTGCTTTGGCAGAGACAGTACTTTATAAGTCAGCTTATTTTGGGTTTCTAGATATGTCTAGGTAATGTCCATGGGTAGGAGGGGTTTGCTATTAGGATCTATTTGGGAGCAAGGCAACTTTCTGAGCCCCGAGGTTGGTTGGAAGGTATGCCACTGGCTGAGAACAAATGACCAGGACTGCTAGCTTGGTTCCCTGCCCAAGTGAAGCTGTAGGAGGAGCTCCATGATTGCTTGAATTCTCTGGTCAGGCTTACTAGACAGTCAGGACTGTGTACTACACTCAGTAGTAGATGGGGCTATGAATTAGTTTCCTTGTTCTGACAGGATGGCAGGACAGGACCCAGAACCTGCATGGCTCACTGTTTGAGGACCAAAATTAGGCAGAAGTGTACACTGAATATCCTGGTCATGTGAGGCCACTGTTTTTTCTCTGCAGAGGGACACAGGCTATGCTCTCTGTTTAAGTGCTTGGGCTGTTCAAGCAGGGCTATTGGGTGAGCTATGCAGCATCCTGTGTGCTCTGGTAAGATTCCCTGGTCACATGGGCTAAAGGATGATTCAACAATAAGTGAGGATACAAATTAGTTTCCCTGCCTGGGTGCAGCAGCAGAAGCAGCTCCAAGGCTTCTAAGGCTCTTTGTGGTCTTAACTCAAGCCAACTCATGCCCCAAGTCCCTTAGACAAACAGGGCCACTGACTTGCTCTGGGAGTAGTTAGCTCTGCCTACCTGCCTCTCAGAGCAAGCCATACTAGGTTATGCAGCTTCCAGGTATTTGAAACAGCCTTTTCTGTCACATGGGGCCAGGAGCCACACTCTACAGCTGGTGGCGATATGACTCAGCTCTCCTGCTTGAGCATCAGCCAGCAAAACTCTCTGAGGACCCAAATCAGACAGACTTGTACTCTGCCAAGTTCTCTGGTCATACTGCACTGACTTGGTTCTGCAGATAAGCGAAGCCGCTGATTGAGAATACTACTTGCGGGTCTACAGGTAGGAACTTGATCTGCCAAGATCCAAGTGCTGGTTGTTGGAAGCCCCTCCCCGCTTCTGACACAATCAGATTCCCAGCAGCTGAGCCCCATAGATTCCCTTTGATCCCTGTGGGGCAAAGCCAGAGTAGGGGCTCCACGAAATGACCCACAATTTGGGGGTAGGGGGCTAGATGTCACATGAGGGCTTCCTTTTTCCCTCTAGAGGAACCAAAGGCTCAGCGGGGGCTTCTTGGTGTACTGCTGCACTGGCCTGGGGAGGGGCAAGGCAATCAGCATGTTCCTCTTACTCTTATAATGTACTCTCTTGGTCGAGAGGGAGAGGGAGAGGGAGAGGGAGAGGGGGAGGGAGAGGGGAAGAGAGAGAGAGGCAGAGAGGCAGAGGCAGAGAGAGAGAGAGAGTGGAGGAAGGAGCGGGAGGGAAGGAGGGACAGGGAGAGGGAAGGAGGGAGGGAGTGTGTGTGTGTTAATGGTGGTAGGTTCTTCAGCCTCACTCCCATGTTCTAGAATCCTTTCAGTGGTGTCTTGTCCATGAATAGTTATTAGTTGTTCTTGTGAGAGGGAGCAAAGTCTGGAACAACCTATGTCGTCATGTTAGTGACATCACTCCCCTTACTATGTGCTGAATAATGTTTTGAGGACTTTATATGGATTAACTTCTTTAATGCTCACAACCACTTTATGGTACTATTAACTCCATTTTACAGATGTGAAAATTGAGGCAGAGAGAGGATAAAGTGGAGATGTTTGTTTCATGCCCCCTCTGCTTTTAACCCAGAGAGTGGGAATCACCAAGCTGTCCCTCTGCTTCCTACCTCTGAAGAGCAGACATCCCTGTCCTCCACCATGACAAAGTGTTATGTTGCCCTTCACTGGGCACTCTGTGTAGCAGACCTGCTGTAGATGGCAAATTCAGTGGAAGAGGCAGGAGTGGTAGATAGGAGCTGCAAGCGGAAAGGAGGCACAGGAGGGCTTTCCAATTCATCAGGACACTGGTGATGACAGGTACTCCATTTTTTAACCATCACTTCCTCATCTCTACACAAAAAGCTGGTGGCGGGATTGGCCTCATTTACTCCCACCACCAGCACCCCTCCCCAGCTGAGCCCTATCTTAGGCCACCAGCAGTGTTCCAGCCTCCCTCTGAAGATGGCAGACCCAAGGCAAACCTCTGAATCACTGAAACTGAGGCAGCCACTCTGCTTCCCTGGAGCATCAATTCAGGCTTTGAGCTTTTGACCAGAGAGGGCACAGCCCTAGAAAGGACTTGTTCATGTCACGGAGCTTGTAGGTGTCAGCCAAAAGTAAGTCCAGGTGTCCTAAAGCCAGGGTTATTTTCCCCTCCCCATACTGCCATTTTGTGTATAAGTTTTCATGGCAGTTGAGGGGAAAAGGTGGGGCTATGATCCTTTCTAAGAAAATGAACATCTCACAGAAGAGCTTTGGGAAATCATCTATTCCTATGTTAGGAACGACCCTTAACCCCACCAGTAAAGAGGAAGAGGAGTGCCCATTCTTTCCTTGTACTTGCATAAAATCTCCAGAAGGAACTGGTATATTTGTTACCTTCAAGAAGACTAGATAGCCCACGGATGGAGTGACTTTTGTACCATTTGAACATTGAGCCATGTGAACATACAGCCTATTAAAAATAAATATCCTTTTAAAAATATTCCTGAAACTCTCGGCTGGGAGTCAGGACTCCTTGATTCTGGCCCTACTTTTGCCACATACTGACTGTAACTTTAGGCAACTCATATAATCTCTCCAGGCCGTTTCTTCCCCCGCTGAACCAGTCATCTGCAAGGCTCCTTTCAGCTCCAAAGGTCTATGATTCTAGACTCCCAAGCTAAATTCTAAAGTCCATGAGGAGAGGGATGAGACAATTTGGTGTCTTTTTAAAAAGTCCCTTTGTAAACCTTGGCCCAGGGGAGGTTTGCCCACTCAGCTAGAAGCACCCTTTCCTGGACCCAGGTCTTCAGAACAAGCTGGCCAGACTGTTGGGTGAGCTACGAGGAAGACAGGAGATGCTGACATATGGGAGTGTGGTCAACAGAATTAGGCTTTTAGAGATGTATGAACCTGGGTTCAAATCCTAGGTGATCTTGAGCTACAGTCATTTAATCTGAGCCTAAATTTCTTCATCTCTAAAATACCAACTTCATAGCTTAAAAGCATTACATGAGATAACATGAAAAGTACCTGGCACACAGAAGGTGTTAGACAAATGTTATCTTGCTCCCTTCCTCCTTCCCTTCACTGGAGCAACTAGGACACTGGGACACAGCAAACGCTGGGTTAGTTTGCTTTTTTGTTTTTTAAGGTGGTTTTCTTATGCAAATCCAGGAGACACAGCCATCTCAAGTTGGTTCTCAGCATTTCTGTTGCTACAGATCCAAGCAGCTCACACCACTGAAGCAGAAAAATATCTAACTTTGCCAGCTTAGGACTTCAGGGGGCTTATCTTTCATTTGTATGCATGGGGAAAAGTGGCCTTTGGGAGATAGCACAGTGGGTATTCTTCTCGTAGGTGGAGTAGGGAGCGGGGCCAAGGGAGCGATGGAAAACGTCAGCACTTTCCAAGACTGGCAGCAGGGGATAGGGAGCTTCAGGGCCACAAGTGGGTTGTGAGAGCTCGGCCTCATAGGGCACTTGGCTTTTTCTAGGACCACAGGCACTTAAAGATCTCTGAACCTTGATTTTCTCATTTATAGAGATGAAGATGAAAATCTCGACATCACAGGTTTGCTGTGATTAGATCAGACACCTAGGAGGTGTCCTGTGAATACTGATTTTTCCTTCCTCTGTTAAGAGGAAAGAGGCAAAGGCCTTCAGAGAAGAGACACATTCACACAATCTCCTTATAAAAAATGGACCTGCAGAGATTTAATTGATGTACAAAAGACAGGATTGTCACCAGAGGTGGTTGTGATACAGGATCTAGTCCCAAAACACATAGAATGAGCCCAATAAAATGGATTGTTTTCTGTGTGGTAGACTGATATCTAAACAGTATGGGGAGTAGAGTAAAAAACGCCAACTGAAGCCTAGTTTCTTATTCTAAGACAAAGAAACGAATGGTGGGATGGTGGAGACTTGGTTTCTATGCACTGGAGAGGCAAGGGCAACCCCATAGCTTTCAAAACAAGAAAAATGGGGGTATTTTATTTAAACAATGAGACAGATATCAGAGAATGTTCCCCATAATCCCCAGGGAGTCCACTGATGAGAGGTGGAGCTGCAGGGAGCTGTGCCAGAATGGTAGCAGCTCCGACTGGCACGAGATCCTTCACTGCCAAGGCCAGGCACTGGCCCAGCCACTCGCCTCCTTCTGAACAAGTCTTCAAGCTCTGAGAAGGGGCAGCAGGGTATTGGGGGTGGGCAGGGGCACAGGAAGAAAAGGTATATGGAAGTAAGAACCCATGAATATACCCAAGGTGGAGAAAAGCGAGACGAGGACCAGAAGCCACCCCAGACTTTTCCTATGGCTTGTTGTCTCCCTGAAAGTTGTGTGTTTAAGACCTGAGAAGGGCTCTAGGGAGGAGCCCCAGGGAAGGGGAAAGCGGGCTCCTGAGGACAGCACAGTGCCAGCAGAGAGAAGACAGGTGACCAAACTTCTGGGCCCTAGCCTCCAGCAATCTCTGGAAGGGCTCTGGGCCCAATTCTGAGACAGTCAAAAGGAGAAACGGGGGCCTCAAGAAATGGGATGTTAGGGAAAAAAAGTCTGATCTCTATGAGGCTGAGGTATTGGAGAGACAGAGCCTGGTCCCAGGGTACAGACATACTGGGGGCTTTGTTCTAATAAAGTAAGCACCATACACATATCCGTGCAGTGCCCTGCAGGTCCAAGGGACCAACTTGGCTCTAAAGGGAATCCCTTGGCCTTTGATAGCAACTCCTCTAATACCACCTCTTCCTCCTGAAGGTGCTGATGTCCCTGATGCCCCACATCAGTAGTATTGCCATGTCCATGTAGGAGCTCACAGCAGTCCACACATTTCATCCTGGGACCCATTACGTGGTCACTGGGGGTGGGTTACTGCTTTCAGTTATAGCATCCTTTTCACCTAGCCGCCCCACCACCATAGTTCCTCCAAGTTTTGAGTGGGGCAAGCAGCAAAGAGAGGACAAGAGAATGCTTTATCAGAGGAAATAAAGTACAGGCCCCTCCTCAGGCACTCGATCTGGGTGCAGGAAAGGCCAGGTGTACCAAATACCACTGCTCAGGGCCTAAAATAGTGATGCACATTCAGTTTGTTGTTCTCATTCAGGCTCAGCTGCAGGAGGCCAGAAGTGGCTGTTGGCTTGGGCACTGAGGAGAAGAGATGTCTGGCCATGAGGTAAAGGAAAACTCCACAAGCAGCTGAGCACATCTGGGGAAGGGCCATGGAAGGAAAGGTCAAAAGCCAAACAGTATCCTCCTTGGGCCCCCAAGGGCACAAACACAAGCCCTAAAGCTCAGCTCAGCCATCGCAGAAACTATAGCAGAAGGGACTGGGGTGTGGAAACCAGCTAAAAGGATACAACTTAGGGTCGTTCTTGTAATGTTCTAGCCACTTCCGGTTAGCCTCAATCATGCCCTGAAAGTTGGTGCTGCCTGCCTCAGGAACGTGGGAATGAGGACGCTGCAGTAGACGGAGCTGCTCACTGGGAAGGAAAAGGACAGCATGAAAAGAGAAGACGGAGAGAGGAGGCAGGAGTGCCGGAACAAGGCGGGACATGGAGTACAGCTGAACGGAGGCCGTCACATCAGCCGCCTCTCTCTCCATCTCAACACACCAGCTGCAGCCTTTTTGGGGTCTCTTCAGCAATTAAAAGCTTCCTCTACTGGCAGG